AACCCACTACCAAACCCCATTTTAGACAAGGTGGTTGAGACAAAAGCCCAACCCACCTTGTCATATGCTTTTTTCATATCAAGGAGCAGTATTGCTACATTGCGTTCCTCCGCTCCTATAACTTCCAGGGTCTGGATCGTGGTCAGTATGTTTTCAAAAATGGACCGGCCTTTGACAAAGGCCCCTTGTTCCCACCCCACCAAGTGGGGGAGTTCGTCAGCGAGTCGAATGGCCAACGTTTTGGCAAGGATTTTGTAGACTACATTCAGGACAGATATCGGGCGGTAATTTTTCACCTCCCTTTTATCCCCTTTTTTGTAGAGTAGGGCGATAAACCCCTTGACAAAGTTGTGTGGCAAGGTCCCCGTAGTCAGTGCCCTATTATATATTTGACATAGAAAAGGGGAGAAGGCACTCCATGAACTAAGAAATAGTTCAACCTGGAGGCCGTCAATCCCGGGGCATTTACCCAGGGCCTTTTTCCTGACTGCTGAGAAAAGTTCATTTTTCGAGATAGGGGCCTCCATCAGGTTCCCAACGCTGGTGGATATGCAGACACTTGTTCTGTCCCAAAAGGTACATTGTTCTGATAGATCTGTATAAAACATATCAAAAGATCTTCTTGTGGATACAATGTCCCGAAAATAGTCAAGAGCATAGTTGCATAACTCATGGGCATCACTAGCAACCTGAGTCTGTACGTTGAAGGGATGCACCAGTTCCCTAATAACCGGTTTTGCCTGTCTAAGAATCAAGGATCTAAAAGTTAGTTTAGTCATTCGGTCATATCCAATAATACCCCGCATTTTAAGCCAGTCCAACCATTCAGCCTGCCTTTTAAGTTCAAGGGATTCCAGTTTGCACAGGGTTTTTTTTCTGATACCAGCCCAATAAAAATCAGAAAATGGGTCTTGACCCATTTTAGATTCGGCCTCTTGAATCTCTTTCTGGCATTTGATTTCCTGCCATCTGCGATTTGGAGCCTTCATGCGCGAGAAGACTACCATTGCTTCTCTGATAATTGCTATACCCACTTCTGCCCATCCCTCCATAGTCTCAAACAGATCCTTGGCCCAAAGCCAACCCTCCATCTGTGTGGAGACCCAAGCTAGGATCCCCTTATTCTTTAGATTGTTCACATTAAGGCGGAAAGGGGGTCTGGCTGTTTGGACTAATTCCTTCGAGATAATATCGACTAGCACCGGGTAGTGGTCGGAGTAGGAGACAATAGTGTAGTTAGCCATTATACAGCGGTCCCACAAGGAGCCCCTTACTGCTATAAAGTCCAGGCGTCTACGTGGTTCTGGTGTCTTATCATCCGGCTTTGGGCCATACCAAGTATATCCATGGTTATCCGAATTCATGATAAGATAAGCATTGATTAAACTTTGTGATTCCAAAAAAGAAAGTAACATTGAAGCATCGGCCCTTAACGGAGAAGCATCTGGAGAGTCCAAGCCCGGATTTAAGGTGGTATTCCAGTCGCCAAGAATGGCAAGATTCTCAGTGTCCGGGATGCAGGCTGACAGATTGGAAAAAAATTCCGTTCGATTAATGTAGTCATTGGGGGCATAAACCGACATGACCGCCCAATCTTCATTCTCTATTCTGATTTTGACCCAGGCCCAACGGCCCCCGGGGTCTACGTAGTGATCCAGCACTGTACAGTCCAAATCTTTGTGGATTAAAGTTGTCACTCCTCCCCTGGAACCCTGTGCGGGGGCCCAGAACTGAGGACCGGTCCACCACTGTTGTGCCTCCCGTATTTTAGACTGATCTAATTTCGTTTCTTGTAGACATAATATTTGAACATTTTCAGAGTGAACCCACTCAGAAATACGTGYTCTCTTATGTCTATTARAAGTATCACCCAGACCTTTAATGTTCCAGCTCACCATTCGTACCCTACTGGGCAGAGGCATGGGGCTGGGCATCGCCGCTCGGGTCTTGGATGCGGGGGGGCAGCGGAGGAATAGCACCTCCAGCTAATCGAGACTGGATCTGACCTGCAGCGCAGAMAGCCTCCTTAAATTTGGCATTAGTGAGAATTGGGGCAGCATTAGCCCTGAGGATCCAATCTGCTACTGCACTCGCAGAACAGGAAGACCATAATCTTATATTTGACAGCGCTTCAGTTTTCCTGAAAGCGAAGTCCAACAGTGGATACCAGAGCACCTTGTCCTTGTTCCAGGCTGTGAAGGTGTCTGATACTGAATTAACACAGAGGAAGGCAATATGCAACATTACCTTTTTTTCATCTTTTAG